CCTTTGCACCCTTCCTCCCCACTCATCTTTTTACTGACTCTATAGTTTTGTCTTTTCCGGAATGTCGTATAGTTGGTATCATACCACACACTATGGCATTTCACAGTGCCTTCTTTCACTTAGTAATCTTTCACTTCATAGCTCTCTTCTTTTTATCACTGGATTATATTCCATTGTCTGGATGTACCACAGTTTGTTTATCCATTCACCTACTGAGGAACGTCTTGTTTGCTTCCAAGTTTTGGCAATAACAAATAAAGCTGCTATAAGTATCTGTGGGCAGATTTTTGTGTGAACTTAAGTTTTCAACTCATTTGAATGAACACCTATGAGTATGACTGCTGGACTGCGTTGTATGAGAAATCTATGTTTAGCTTCGTAGGAAACTGCCTAATTGTCTTTCAAAAGGGGGGTGTCGTTTTGCATTCCCACCAGCAATGCATGAGAGTTCCTGTTGCTCCACACCCTTCCAACACTTGGTGTTGTCACTGTTTTTGATTTTAGGCATTCTAATAGGTGCACAGAGATATCTCATTGTTTTAATTTGCAATTCCCTAATGACATAAGATGCTGAGCATCTTTTCATATGCTTATTTGCATCTAAATGTCTTCCTTGGTGAGGTGACTGCCCAGATCTTTTCCCCAGTTTTTAATTGGGTTGTTTACATATTATTGGATTTTAAGAGTTCTTTGTATATTTTAGATACTGATCTTTTATCAGATATGTGTTTTGTAAATATTTTCTCCTACTTTGGGCTTGGCTTTTCTTTCTCTTAATAGTGTCTTTCATAGGGCGCCTGGGTGGCTCAGATGGTTAAGCGTCTGCCTTCGGCTCAGGTCATGATCCCAGGGTCCTGGGATCGAGTCCCACATCGGGCTCCCTGCTCCTTGGGAGCCCGCTTCTCCCTCTGCCTCTCTCTCTCTGTCTCTCATGAATAAATAAATAAAAATCTTTAAAAAAAAAATAGTGTCTTTCATAGAGCACAAGTTTTTTTTTTGTTTTTTTTTCATAGTTTATTTTTATTTTTTATTGTTATGTTAATCCCCATACATTACATCATTAGTTTTAGATGTAGTGTTCCATGATTCATTGTTTGTGCATAACACTCAGTCATAGAGCACAAGTTTTTAACCTTAATGAAGTTCAACTTACAAATTTTTTCTTTCATGGATCATGTACCTAGTCATTGCCAAACCCAAGGTCACCTAGATTTTCTCTTATGTCATCTTCTAGAAATTTCAGTTTTGCATTTTACATTTCAGTCTAGGATCCATTTTGAGTTAATTTTTTGAAAGGTGTCAAATCCGTTATCTAGATTTTTATTTGCATGTGAATGTCTAGTTGTTTCAGCACAAAAAGTTGGTTTATACTTTAAAAGGGGGGGGAGCACCTAGCTGGCTCAGTTGGGCTCGAACTCACAACCCCAAGATAAATAATTTAATGCTTAAATAAATAAATAAATAAATGTTGGTTTGTTATTAATTTTTTTTGGTGGTAGTGGTAGGGGAGGAAGGAAGCTCCCCCTCTACCAACACACATGTCTGTAGGCTGTTTTTCTCCATCCTGGATCATCTTTGCCTCCCTCATCCCCCTTACCTGCAATGAACTTTATCCATCCATATTAATCTATTTAATCTTACTTAACACCAACCTCACACTTTCACTATCCATTTTTTCCAATATTCTGACTGGTACTCAACATGATCAGTTAATAGCTGGTGAACTCTAAAACCACTTATGAGCTATAAATCCCATTTAGCACTGCCATATACCACTGTCCTTCCTCTTAGCCAGACTGTAAACTCTTGGCGAGGCCAGGAATCCTCCTGTTCTCATTTACCCCTGGTAGCTTAGCAGAGGTCTGGGCACAAAATATGTCAGCAATAGTTGCTGACAATTTTAGACTACCTGGACTTTGGTCCTGACTTACCAAGTGTCCTTTGATCTTCAAGAGGGATGGCTATGCTTTAGGAAGTCCAGCTGAGGACCTGCCAAAGGTGTAAACTCTGCAACCTTGCCCTGACATGGCCAGAATGGTGCATCTCTAATTTTGATGCCCAATTTAGCATTATGCCCACACAAACAAGAGGGCCCTGATCTCCTTGGAGAACTAGGAAAGATTTACCAATGAGACAGCAAAATGTGGTCTCTAAAGTGCTAAAGGATGCTGAGTCACAAAGCATGTTCCTTTCATTATGATGGTTACATGGCCATAATGACCGTTCCAGTCATTACGAAAACAATGAAAAACAAATGAATGAAATAAAAAGGAGAATGGACAGTTTCTGATGACTGGCTCCCCACCTCATGCCTAATTAATAATCCAAGTAATGGTTATCCCCCACCCTCTAATTTTGTTTTCTGTTTTCATCTGCATCATTAAGTGTTCCCATTCAAGGATCTCTGTGTACTTCAAAGTGAACAATGATGGAGGGAATGAAAGGGTCCCGAACTGAGGTTGGGGCCAGTGGTCTCTGTGGTTGTGACTGAACCCAATCTCCACGACATACTGTGCTGACAGACTTCTCAGAATTGGTTTTCTCCAGGAAAGTACTATGGCTTCTATTTGCCAGGATCACCTAGCTTCTGTCTATGGCCCACCCAAGCAAACAGCAGGCAGAAAAAACGAGGGAGGCCCAAACTCGGATATGGCATATTCACGGCCCTGGGTTTCCAAAACAGGCAGCGAAGCTCCCGCAGAGCTCGAGGGGCCTTCGGGGTGGGCCTCAGGGTGGCTGAGGCAAACTCTGCAGTCAGTGTGGGCAGCTGCACTGCCTCTGCCTCAGGAACAGCCTGGAGCCAAAGACTCACAGGCGCCAGTCAGGTGTTCACTCAACCTGGAAGGGCAGCAGACTTGTTGGCAACATCCACAATCCTACCTCCAACTTTCCTTGAAAGTCAAACAAAGTACAACTGTTCCTGACATCACTCTTCCTGCCCTGGGAAAGCCCCCAAATTTTGTAGCAGGCAAGCAACGGTCCCCATGGATGGTGTAAAGTGGACCGAGTGACCCCCAGTGTTTTATGTAAAACAAATCACATCTAGACAACTGAAAAATACAAATCTCAAGTCCCCTCCCCTAGGACCTGTTTAAAAGACATTGCCCCCTTTTTACCACTTAGCCGCCAAAGCAGCCTCTTTAGACAGTGGTGACTCAGGGGGCTCCCAGCTGCTAAAAACAAAGATTAAAGAGGGGCGCCTGGGTGGCTCGGTTAAGCATCTGCCTTCAGCTCAGGTCACGATCCCAGGGGCCTGGGATTGAGCCCCACGTTGGGCTCCTTGCTCAACGGGGAGACTGCATCTCCCTCGGCCCCTCCCCTGCTCTTTCTCTCTCTCTTGCTCACTTCTTCTCTCTAAAATAAATAAATAAAATCTTAAAAAAAAAAAAACCCACAAAGATTAAAGACCATTAAATGATACTGCTGGCTAAGATCAGGGACAGTAAGCAACCTGGGCTAGAAATTCAACCTTGCTCATGCTGAGCAACAAATGACAGGTACAGAAGTTTAAACAAAATGGGGGATAAAAAAAGAGATAAAAAAGAAACCAGAATCTCCTTCAAGTCTAGGAAAGCAGATATAGGAGTGCTTAACAAGCCAGGCAGTGAGGGATGGAGACTCCACAGGCAAGTCTGGCCATGGAGAAGCAGAAGAGACTCACTGCCCTTAAGCTGAATGAGTTTTCCCAGTACGTGATTTCATTTTATGCTACTGTTTCGTTTGTAGTAAAAGTATTCCTTAAGTCCATTTTAGAGTCTTTCTCCCCCTGAGCCTTAATATCCCTTAGTCTCTTCTTTTTTTTTTTTTTTTAAAGATTTTATTTATTTATTCATTAGAGACAGAGAAAGAGAGGCAGAGGGAGAAGCAGGCTTCCCGTGGAGCAGGGAGCCCGATGTGGGACTCGATCCCAGGACCCTGAGATCATGACCTGAGCCGAAGGCAGACGCTTAACCATCTGAGCCACCCAGGCGCCCTCCCTTAGTCTCTTCTAAGGCAAAAATTGTTGGTCCCATTTTGCAGATCCACAAATATCTTAAAGAGATAGAACGGCAGGGTGTGACCGTGTAACCACGGCCCGGAGATGGGCAGGAAAAGGTTCTGATATCCTGGTGTCTCACCAGGTGAAATGAGTGCCCTGAAGACAATCTGTGGCTGAACTTCGAACTGTTTTCACTAGAGAAAGGCAAAGTCAACTCTGTTCTTCCCGAGTTTTATCCAACCGCAGCCTGAGAGTCCAGCTGTTCTGGTCATGGCCTTACATACTTTCTGCAGAGGCTCTAGTTGACAAGATTTATGTGGTGGTCTGAAGAAGCACGCTAAGCAGTGTGGGAGGAAACCACAAGGGAGGACTTTCTGGCCCTAGCACAGTGGATATCTAGTTTCTGTGGAGGACCGGACAAGCAGCTCTAAAAGTGCCTGTCTCGGTTATGGGTGCTTACCACCCAAGGGTGAAGCAACAAAGGTTCTTCTTTTTCCTAGTCTCTGGTATATCATCACAGTCATGCTAAGGGTTGAGGATCTCAACACTGGAAGGGCTACTGGAGGGCTTTTCTTTCTAGAAGTGGACACAGAAGTGGCACTGGACATATTCTACATCATCAGGGAGAAAGGAAACCAGGACAACATAAATGAGTGAAACAGACTTGGCTACTGATCCACTGAGTTGCTACAGTGTCTGGATGTTTTATAAAACTAAAAGAAATCGCTTTTCATGCCCAGCAGCCAGCACAGGTCAATAGCCATCACCAAAGCCATCTCAGCAGGAGGGTAAATCAAAGATCACCAAGGCCAAGAAGCAGTATGTTAAGAATAATGATTCCCTTCTGAGATGATGATGCTCAAAAAATCCACAACAAACTAGCCAAGCTCCACATTTAGGAAGAAGGTTAAAATCACGTTCATGGGACAATGCTCAAAGTCAGATGGGGCCAGAGCATAAATTCCGGGCGGGATGGCTGAGCAAGGGCCTACTGTGGAAGGCAGTTAGACATCATACTTACAGTGAGTTGGGCCGGGTGGGTTTGAGCACATCCAGGTCCGGGTCACTGGAGTTCATGTTGGGCTGCAAGCTGCTGCTGGAATTAAGGATGCTATTTGCATTTGATGAGACGACAGATTCCAAACTGGAGTTGATGATGCTGTTTCTTTGTTCCTCTGGAGAAAAACAAGGTGACAAACCCCATATTACTACTATTTCATAAAGATAGTTTGTTTCGACGTATACAAAAACCTACCAATAATGAGAATGGATTGAGACCTCAGCAAAGCTCAGAAGACATAGGAAAGGATAAGGTTTACAGGTGGGAAAGGAAGAGGAAAGGAAGAGGAACAGGTGACTTGTGACTTTGGAGAAAACCCCCCTCTGCTCAGCCTGATAGGACAGACCAGCCATTTTCCTAAGAGTGACCCTACCACTGCACCATAAATTGTGTGTCTTCTTTTGACTGGTAGATGGGCAGAACACAGAGCGGCCTTCATAGCGCCCTTGTATTCAATGAGGTCCTCTTGGTTTCTGTAACATTCACCTTTTATTCTAAAACTCCTGCCCCCAATATGGTCTTAATTGCGAGGGCCATGTCCTACCTCCAATTCTATAGCACTTCACCATAAAATATCTACTACTTACTTGGTCATCAACATCCTTATGACTGCAGTCTACATTCCTGACCACTCCCAAGACAAACCCTCCTGCGTTGCCTCCAGCTCCATGTATTTGATGTCTAGCTTCAAGTCAGTTCTTTAATTAATAGATCTATAAGGGCTACAGAGCCGTCTGCATATAAAAAACTGAGTCCATGGTCCACGCAGTCATATTAGTGCTTGGAGAGTATTACTAATCCCAGAGGGAGGAAACCTGAGTTCTTTTCAAGACTCCACCCCTGCCTGGCTGAGTGGCCTCAGGCAATTTTCACTCTGTTTCTTGGCTAATGCATCTGTAAAATGGGGATAATGAAAACTGCCTTGCACAGCTCAAGAAGTTCATAAGGATCAAGTGGGATCATATGCAAGAATGCATTTTGTAAACTTCAGAACACTGTTTGAAGATAAGAACTTTCTGTTTCTTCCCATCTTTAAAAACTTGGAACCGTGTGCTGAAGAAAACGTTTTTGGGATAAATCAGCTAAATGGCAAAGGCACCACTGCTGTAGCAAAATATCAGAGTCCCGGAATGTCATTCTCATCCCACATTCATTACAGATACACCATAATGAAATCAGCTGATGCTGCAGGCAGTCAATTCACTTATCAGGAAACAGCCTACGTGGATTAATCCTCACTGGACCTTTGAAACAAGCTGGAGGTATACCATGTCCCTAAGAAGACAGACTGGACTCACTGACATGGTGGTTTAGAGGCTGGCATTTGAACTCTTCAAGCAGTAAAGGGGGTGATGTGATAAAAAAAATACTTTTCCATTTATACTAGTCATGTGCATAAAATTTATCATGCTTATGAGATGATGTTAGAGTAATCTTTACATTTAATACACACACACTCATTCACACACACACACACACACACACCCAAACACTCAAACACTCAAACACCCCTAATATCTTGACAAATTCTCAATGCCATGTTTAAAACCCTGCAGAAGAATAAAAAACTCCATGAGGCTATTGGGAGATTTCTGAACTCTAAGTAGATTTTGAAAAAAGTAGATTATTAACTTGATTCCTGAGATTTGAAACTATTCATATCTCAAGAGCTTAAGTTCCAAACAGAAACAACAACAAAGAAAGAGAAACCAAAAGAGTTACAATGCACCCAGATATAGAAGAACTAACAGGGACTTTGAATGGGAACTTGCTATCAGGAAGAAAACCAACTCTAAAATTACATAATTAGGGGATCACTGAGAAAATGGATATGCCACTTACCAGTATGAATCAGTGCAAACTTTCCTTTGCACAAAATACTCATGTTGAGATTTCTGAAAAAGACTGAGAAGCCCAAGACCAACATATAGAAAAGGGCACTCAATACACTTCTCTGGGGTTCAATGAAGACAATTTCTGCTTCACAGGGAAGGAGAGGTGAATAGTTTTATTAACTCTAGTTTGAGGCCAACTTTGCATGATGTAATTTTCTGGATTCACAGGAAACCAAAGAGTATAACCATAGCTCATATTTCTCCTGTGATTATATTTACTTGCCCTTAAGAGGACTATGATTCTATAAGTTAAAAACAATACCTTGCTAAAAACATATTAGTTTTTCTAAAATATTATTGGGACTTTTTTTCCTGCCTTACCATCCATTAGAAAAAGAGTATCTGAGATGGAATTTTCTTCAATTTTCATCTATTCAGTGAATACTTATTGGGAACACATTCCCAGATAATGAACACCCCTACACTAATTCCTAGGTATTTTATTCAGATGTATACTAGAATATTTATTAGTAACTTGCATATACTTATTTGTTCACATGTCTACCTTCCTCGGTAGACTAGGAGCAACCTAAGATTGAACATGTGACAGATAAAGCTTTGAAATCATAACTGAAAAGAAATAGATAAAGATGCTTTCCTTTATATAACACTTTATCAGAATCCTAACCTCATATAAGAATCTGATTCTATAAATGGGATTTGGGTAAAATTTTTGAGAACTTATCTTCTGTTACAGTATTACAGACTGGCTTTTCTCCATGAGCTAAGCAAGGAACACTGCTGCATATGGAAACTGACATTTGTCTTAGATGAACCCACACGAGAATGAGGATGGGGTGGACAATGAGAATCCAACCCTGCCTGGCCTAGAAAAGCCACAAAAATTAAATGGGTGGCAACCCCCAAACTGAAGTCGAGGATTTCTAGTATTTCATTCAGTGGAGTCACTAGAACTCTTTTTAAGGAAGTAAATCCTTTTTGAGATTCTATTTTGACTTGTATTTAGGTACTGTGAGCCTTGCACATATGGCAAAACCTCTAACAAAATGACAACAAAAGCAAAAGATCAAGAAAAGGTGTCCTTTGTTCAAAAAGAAAATACAGAAAAAAATTAATCATAAAATTTCATAGTTTTGCAGTCAAGATAGCCAAATACGCATCTAAACAGTCAGACTCTTTACCAGTATGCCTCGATGGGCCACATGATAAGGAATTCTGGAAACCTGGCACTCTCGGACTATAAGACCACTACAGTTTTATTGGACATAGTGAGACTGAGAACGTCTAAGGTGGATAGGCTTCTGAGCTGAAATGCTGACAATCCCTACTGAGGGTGAGCAGGACAGTGAGAGTCATTCCAGGGAAGAGGTGGAGAGTAAAATCAACAGCAATTCAAATGTTTTAGTGGTATGGCAAACTATACCGAGACAAATTCTAAGGCATTTGGCATGAATTAAGAAAAAAAAGAGAACATGATTCAGTAATGTCACTCCAAACAGGGGGATCTTTGTCAGGTGGGCAAATGAGTACTTCCCCTAACAGAAAACATAATGAGAACAGGCAGCCTAAAACACTATTTAAAAAAAAATTAAATTAACCAAATCTTTCCAATACCAGACCTGGACTTCTCTGAGACATCAATGATTCAAACTAGCTCTGGCATCCTCCTCACAAGGTATAAGAAAGACTGATGGCAATTACATTGCTGAAGAAAAGGAAATTATAGGCTACGGAGGGGACTGAAAAAGAAAAACAACAACAGTTATGAGTCAAAGCAAAAGGATCACGGAGAACCCCTTAAATGACCAAAAGAGAAAGAATGCCTACAACTCAGGAGTATTCCTAAACTGGGGATCCCTGCCTTCTTCAAACATGTTTGTCAACAAGAATCTCTCTTCGTTTTAGTCACAGAAGACAAGAGCTCAGAAGCAAGGAAATGATAAAATAAATCCCCTAACAAATGTAAACATGTATGGGTAAGTGATGAATGTCTTCATGAACATAGTTACTACGAAGAGTGATAAACTCTTCCTAGTGCTGGTCCTAGTGCTGAGAAATGGAAACTACTCGGGGCAGGGGCATGTATGCCCATACAGAACCCCTTGAGCATCTATTACAGTGACCTGCGAGGTCAGCATCAGTCACATGTTCCTGGCACCCGGCCCGTGCATAATATACACTAAAGCTCCATGAATGGTTACAAGACAAATAATAAATACAAGGTGACAATAAGCAATGAAAATGTATTCTGCTGGCACAGAAAGAGGAAGTTCCAAGTGACTGAATTTTCCAGGTGTTTCATACAGGGACCACTAATGTCCTTGAAACCAAAGTAATGGTTACAGTGGACAGAGTCTGTGTTTTTTGTACAAATCAGGAGTGGAAAAATATGACTATGCAACCAAATCACTGCAACTAAAAAAAGAAAGCCACAGAATAATTTTGGTGATATTGTACTTGTTCTGGGGGTTGCCATGGAAATCTGGGAGCTAAGCAACTTCACTTTCCATATTTACCAAGTGACTCCTGCTCACTCTAATGACAATCCCTCCCCATCCCCACACCCCCCATACAAAAGGCAGGGTCTCTACTTATCACAGAACCCAGAAGCAGGGCCAGGAATGCACATGCAGAACCAAACCAAATTCACGTGTCTCGGCAAGCCTCAATGCTCTGGCCCACTGAATACACAGAGTGGGAGGATAAATAGGAAACACAGACTTGCAAAGTCACTTTGGGGGAGGTTTCCCACCACACATGGAAGTCTGTCAGAATACGGGCTAACATCATCTTTCCATGATGTCTGAGACTAGCTGTCAAAAAAAGGGAAGAAGAAATGTTCTTTAACAGTAGCTCATGATGCCTCACAGAGCCCTAAGGAGGGAATGTGCTCTCTACATGATCAAACAGGGAGGAAAGGGAGTTACCAGACTGATGGAAGTTCTGCAAAGACACAGGCTTTCGACAAAAAATATTAAGACAAAAGCAAAATACCCAGAGGCTTTCCCTTGCTGTGGTAGGGAGAGAGGTGTACTTTCTTCTGCTTATTAAAGTTTTGCAATGAAGTCTGTAATGTATCATCCTGACAAGATATGATGATAATAGAATGGCAGCTTAATGAATTTTGCAATAAAAAATGATGAGTGCACAGCAATTTCTGAGTTTACCATCTCTGGGAAACACCCAAGTACATGAGAAGCTTGGAATCAGACTTTCTGAAGCAATTTTTTTCTTTGTAGTTTTTGTTCCTGATAATAGT